ATAAGAACTGATACTTTTGTGTGATGTTGTAGAAGTTCAATAAATATAGTGATCAGTTGTACTTCAATGTAAAGTCAACCATCTTTACATGAGACTCTGGGGACCTCAGGGACTGGCCTCCTGCTGGGACTCTGAGGAGCACAGGGACTGGCCTCCTGCTGTGACTCTGAGGAGCACAGGGACTGGCCTCCTGCTGTGACTCTGAGGAGCACAGGGACTGGCCTCCTGCTGGGACTCTGGGGACCTCAGGGACTGGCCTCCTGCTGGGACTCTGAGGAGCACATTGATTGGCCTGCTGCTGATCCAAGAGCAAGTCTTCCAGATTACTTCTAAAACAGGTTCTATAAAGCATTGGCCTTTGAGCCTGAAGGTTGTGGGTTCGAGCACACCATGAGACCTACGTACCTCACGACTCCCACGGATGACTGCTGTCGTTGTGTCCTTGGGCAAGACACTTAACCCCACTTTGCCTGAAGCCCCCGCTGAAAGATTTCAGCTCCTGTGGACACCACCTGCAGGAGGATCAGTGAGGAGCTGGTGCTCTGTGTACTGTGTACAGCTCTGACTTCTTCCCCTAAATCCATTTCTGGGTCAGGGGGGTGGCAAATGGATGGATGATCTTAAATATTGTGTATGTTTGTTTAAAAATAAGTTTGCAGAAAAACTTTTGCTCAAATTGTGCTATACAAATATATTTGATATATATTGACTTCATGACTATTTAATTGTATTGTTTTAAAAATGAGATTATTGTTCAATTACATTCAACTTTTATTTAAATTGCCTTGCAAGAACTTATGAAAATGCACAGTTAGACAGATGGGCAAGATCTATACAGCGCCATACATCTGCATCGTTATACATTTCTGTCACAGACAGTAGGAGCAAATCTAATCTCCACAAAGGCAGATAAACGTCTAAACTTCATGAAAAATGTGCCTCCTGCGACCAAGTGAACTATGTTATTGATATGCAGCAGGGCCAGAGGAAGCCTTTATAAAGAGAATACTAACCAGGCATTGTGATACAGCACAGGTACAAGTCATATAAAGAACAATCCAATTCCACTTCAAATGACCGAAGAAACGCAGAGTGAATTTAACATGCTTGATTTTGAAAAAGTAGGGTTCAAACCACATAATGCACAATAAAGAGCACTAATAGAAACTGTAGATGAAGACACAGGCTCCATTTAAATAACAGGGAGAAGATGAGAGCTGAAATGCAATCAGCGACTTCACCGCACTGTTCAAAATGATGGATTTTTATTATGGACGCTTTGCTGCCACATGACAACACATCCCATTGTACAGATGTGATTTGAATACTTTTAAGGATATGCTGATGCTTCTGAATAGCACTGTATAGTAATGGAAAACAGACATCATTTTAAACAGGATGATCTAATTATAATTGAGTGTAATGCCTGATTTTGAATGTTATGCCAAGATGTTTTCTCACGCTTAAATTTGCCAGAAACTGAGTAAAGTAAAAACATTTTTACTTTAAAGTTGAAATATTATGAGAATAAACTCGAAATATTATGAAAACAAACTCAAATATTCTCGAAATGAGCATTATGCTTGTTTGTGTAAGCTTTGTTTATTTGTGACACACCCATGGTTTGCCAGCATTGCACAGACGTTTTGGCTCAAATGACACTCAAAAAACTAACTATCTTGCGAATCAGTTGCATATAATAGTAGTTTTTATAAAGAAGGCTTATTATCATTCTTTCTTCTACTCTGCTTTATAATTAGAATCAATGACAGAAATAGATCAACATGTATTTGGATTTTAACTGATAATGATGATGATATAGATAAACAATTTAATAATAATAATAATGCATCGGTTTTATATAGCGCTTTTTTGGACACTCAGAGACGCTTTACATGTAATTATTCTTTCACTGCATACACGGTGGCGATAAACTACTACTGTAACCACAGCTGCCCTGGGGCACACTGACAGGAGCGAGGCAACCAGTACGTGCCATCGGCCCCTCCGACCACCACCAACCATTCACACACACACCAGACTCATTCTAGGCAATGGGGGTAAAGTGTCTTGCCTAAGGACACAACAGTAGTTTGGCACTTTACAGCCGCAGCCGCCCCACTGTGGCTGGTGTTCCCAGAGGTCAAGTGTCTTGCCAAGGACACAACAACAGCAGACAGTGGGAGTCGATGGTGAAAGTCGGGCTCCAACCCACGACCCTCTGGCTCAAAGGCCAATGCTCTACCAACTGAGCTACTGTCGCCCTTGATTTAGATCAGCAGATGCTGACATAAAGTTTACTGTAGCTAGCAAAAGTAATAATACAACTTTAACTTGTAATATTTTGTCATGTTTACAACCACGTTTTGGCGTTTTTATGACAAAGCCTGACGCTGAAGGACGGAAACAAACTACAGAGTATTGTGAGAACTTGCTCCAAAATCACCGGAGGAAAACTCAGACCTTCACTCTTTGTGGGAGGAACAGGTGCTGAATAAAGCAAAATGTATTCTGGCTCAGCCCAAACATCCTCTGATCGCTGACTTTGTAATGATGCCTTCAGGGCGTCGTTTTTATGCTCCAGCAAGGAAAACAAACCGTTTTTCCAATTCTTTTGTCCCCTCTGCTATAAAACTGTTGAACTCTGGAAGAGGTGTTTGACTTTAGGGAATTGTGTTGTTCTGTGTTGTTTTTGTAACTTATATTGTGTAACCTGCTGCTGTGTGAACTGAGACTCACTGTGTGTTTGTGTAGAGTATGTTCTGCTTTGAGATTATGCTGCAAATGAATTGCCCTTTGGGATCAATAAAGTTTTCTGAATCTGATTCTGTGAAAACTGAGAGATGAACGCAAAATTGTATGATTTTAATTACATTTTTTGTTACATATGCAAATGAAAAGTGTGGCTTTGTGGATCCCCCTTTTCTGCAATCACAGCAGCAAGGTTTATGAGGGGTGAGCTATTAGCTTTGCACATTTACAAAACAAACTATCAGATTAGAAAGCATTTATGAACAGCACTTATCAAGTGTGTCTACAGACTTTCAATTGAATGTAGGTCTGTTTGAAAAATTTGCTATAGTTCAAGCTGTATTAGCACTTTTGCAAGTTAGAGTAAACTTTATGTTGGCATCTGTTGATTTACATGATTTTTAAAATAAGTTAAAAATCCAAATACGTTCCAATTTGTTCCATTTCTGTTGTAGATTATAATGAATAATGAATATAAAGAATAATATAGTAAGACTACTTTTATATGACACTGATTCACAAGTTATTACAAGCTGCAATCGAACCGTTACTTGTACAATTCCATTATAACTTTTTCGTTGTCTCCAAATAGTTGAAATTCTCAGAAGCAACCTCCACTCATTAATTGGTGTTAGCGAGACAGGACTAGGGGCCAAATGATCCAGATGAGTCCGTTTAAAAGGAGAATGGATTCAAGTGTGCCCACCAGGAGCATCTGTCGGACAAGACGAAGCACCACCACAGAAACAAACGCATTTGGATAAGCGCTGTCCCAAACAACACAGGTTTCCCTCCATAAAAACGCTGGTACAATCTGTCCATTTTTTAGCTGCTTTGAACACGATCACTTTCTTTCATCCCCTCTCAACAATGTAAGTTCAAACACCATCGCATTTTGCTGCTGATTGCAATGAGTCATGCATTTTTCATTAACTGACTGAAGAACTGCAAGGTTTCGGCTGCTCAGTCACAGCGTTTAGCAGAATTAATCTTTTTGAGGTTTTTTTTTTTAGTTTGAAACTTTTAAAAGGAATGTGTTACAACAATGAGGGAGTTTTATGAAAGCATAGCACTGAAACTGAAACAGTGGGCACATGGTAACTTGGTCTAATACCGTCACATTTGCAAACGGGTCTTCAGTAATTATAACCTGTCGACTACAATGGTTTTTGTCAAAGCCATGAGTTGAAAAAGAGATACTGACTTGAATTAAATTTAAAAAAAAATCAGTAAAATATAAAAAGCTGAATTTAAAACAAATTAAAAAGTCCACGTTTCAATCTTAAATTAACTTTCTTTGCATTGAAGTGTCTTGCCATAGGACGCAACGACTGTGGCACCTGGTGTTCCCTGAGGTCTCCTATCACAGCACTAACCAGGCCCCGCCCTGCTATGCTTCAAAGGTCGGACAGGATCTGGTTTTCCCCTGAAGGTGGCGCAACGTCAAATCTTTGGTCAATGACAAAGCAGGACTTTTGTGGGGGGAACATTTATGAATGAAATGCATGAACCTTTATTCATCTCACAGTGGGCAAATGTTGAAGTGCACATACGAGATAGTAGTAGGAGCCCACATAAATAGCATATAATACAGTCATCAACATTGCAATGTGGATGCCGCACTAGCCATTATCGCAAGGATGACACATCATGCAGCCCTATTTCTAATTAGTGAATGCAGTTGATCTGTTTTTTTTTTGTTTTCTTGAACTAAACATATTTTGATTTAGAGGTAGGCAGTGGTAGCAGTTAATGCTTTTACATTTCCCTGTATTGGAGAGGCTGCAGCGTGAGACCATTCAAACATAATTGTGTTTAGGGAATGCTGGTTAACCTGCGAAAGCCTCCTGCAGGATCAGACCAGTCCCTTGAAACCTGATTGATTTGCTCTTCAGTAATGGTCCAGAGAGCGCTATCCAATCTAATAACATGGTTAGTGGATTCTCCAACCAGCGACTGACTGCTCCGTCACAAACTATTACCATCAGAAAACACAAGCTGACTATTTTAACGGCAGATTTCTGGGTGGCTTCTTTAAGACGGCCCCATGTGAACAGAGAGTTTGACAGGTAGGAAACAGGAGACAAGCAGAGCGAGGAAGCAGAAAAACTAGGGGAAACTATTGGGAATGGTAGCAGAGATAGAGTGGTATGAGATGATAAAAAGATAAAATAAATGTGCAGTGTTAATAAAATAGAAAACGGAACTGCATTATATGATCATTTTAATTATAGTTATAACATTACTGTCTACTTACTGTTGCTGCCTGATCGGTTGAGTCGTTGAATTGCCATGTTCTCTGGTTCACGATATGGAAACTGCAAAGTGGTGTCCAGGCTTCGAAATCCTTCTCTGAGTGAGTGGTGTTTGTAGTACTCAATCAACTCCTGTTAAGTGCAAATATACATAAACTCATATTGTAGGTTAATTTCCATATGTTACAGTGACAACACATCATAATCCTCTTTAAAGTTTTTGGATATCTGTTTCCCAAATCCTTGTTGTTGTTGTGTCCTTGGGCAAGACACTTAACCCCACTTTGCCCAAAGCCCCCGCTGGAAGATCTCAGCTCCTGTGGACTCACCACCCGCAGAGGATCAGTGAGGGGCTGGTGCTATGAGACTTGGGTGGCATCTCTGACTGCCACCCCCCTGACCCAGAAATGGATTAAAGGGTAGAAAATGGATGGATGGATGGATGGATGTTTCCCAAATCATCTAAAAAAAATTCTTGGCTCAAAACATTGCTAGAATACAGTATATGAGTCTAACATTCATATTGATAATATTCCTAATGCTGTGATGTTGAACAATATTATGAGGAACAACGACTGAAAATACCACTGGTTCTCTTTGTAACTTTTAGGGTCCCGAGTTTAGATCTCGAATGAGCCCCCATTTTGATATTTTACTTACACTTGCAATGTACATAAACCTAAAGCCATTTAATACCCATAAAGAATATTCATCCTTATGAGCAGGTTGTCTCCATAGATCTGGCTTGTTTTGCCTAGAGTACTATAATAATTACAGAACTGTCATTGTGGAAGAAGACAGTTAGAACCTCAGAACACTGCTACCTTTCTGCATCCGAGAGTCAACAAGTTATGCTTATACGTTATTGAATGAAAACAATCGCATCAAACGCCTGTAATTAAGCAGAGTGGTAAAGGCTTATTAACAATTCAGTGAATAAACTACAAAATAGTTTACATTTCTAAACAAATTTTACGCTGTGCAAAGCTAAAATGTTGTTAGTATAAATCTGAGAAAAAATATTTCCAGTTTGTGAACAACCTTTCACATCGGACTTATCTATAACGGCGAGACCCTGCGGCTCCCATAAACAGGGCTCTAATCACGGCTATTTCTGCACGCACCACTAAAATAAAATTCCGCTTTTGACACCTCATTAACCCTACGTCATGACTTATTTATAAACTCCTCTGAAGGCATTAAGGGAAAATACACAGCTCACCACTATACTCCCGAATTTCTTGTTTTCTGCAATGTGGAAGCAGCCCTCCTTGGTCAGGATCTTGATGTGCTTGACGTCGTTGTTGTACCTGCGGGCCAGTGAATAAGTTATGAGTGTAATTTCCCCTTTTGATCAGCGCATCGATTGGAGGCTGCCGCTAATGTCCCAGGTCCAGAGGTTAGCAGCCTCTGAGTGATGTGAGCGCAGAGGGGAAATGGCTCAGTATGTAAAAGGCCGTGCACCTACCACCAGTGGAAAATACCACAGCAGCAATGGAACTACAATTAATGATCCGCAGACAGGATAAAGAGGGACTAAAACATGAAATATGGAAGCTCACGGTCACCTTTGATCTCTTTATTGATACATATTTCAGGCTTGTCAATACGTCGACTGACCCTTTGTGTTATTGTAGGGAAAGCCATGGGACTGCAGTGCGTAGCTGCAGGCCTATATTGACTTGGAAAATGGACTAATAAGAGACATTATGAATAAAAGTACATAATGTTGCTTAATGCCTAATTAGAGAATATTTCAACGGACAAATTATACTGTCAATGGAGTAATGTGTTTTGTAATTGCTCAGTCTGAAAGTTGAATTTATTTTTTTAATCTACAATGGATCAAAGGTTTAATAAGGGTGAGTAATATGGTATTGTTGACTAATAAAATAACAATCGTGGAAGTTAAGGCAAGTTTTAGCGAGATGGCAAAGTCTATTATCTAAACATATGTACATTATTTATTTATTCAGTGTGGTGAAATTGCATGAGGAATAGTTTGTATAAAAAACAGGTTGGCTGGAAAATCATGCAGCTAATATTAATGGTCGATATATATACCCTGTAACCACATAACAGACATGTGACTTACGGTCGCAGGGTATATACTTATTTATGTGCGCAAAAATGGCCGCGCAACAAAGTACATCTGAGACATGTAGTGCCATATGAACACCCTCCAACTCTGAGGAGCACAGGGACTGGCCTCCTGCTGGTGCCCTGGGGGTCCGAACTAAACATGGGGAAGGATATTTATACACCTTAAATCTTAAGTCTTTCTGAAAATGAAAGACAGGCTTCTACTGTGACAATGTTCAAATCCAGGTTAATACAGTTCTGTTTATCTGTATATACAACTGAAGGATTGTATCTTCATCCTTTTAATGTCTGTGAAAATTTATGATTTAAATGCTTTGAATCGTTTCTTTGTGTAAGAACTGTACAATACAATTAAACTTGTGCTGCCTTGCCTTACCTTTATTATTTTAATTCAATATCGGTAAAGGCCTTATGAAGCAGGACAAATAGCAGATATCGATATTGGCTGGAAAACTAAAATGAGCCCCTGACTAGCAGCTTTACATCACATGGTCTGCTATAGTCTCTTATACAATGTTCCAGTCTGCTCTCTTCTGTATGTGGTGATTACGCACTGACTGAAGTCAAATGGACTTTCTTAGAGCGGAGGAAATGCAAAACAGCGCGCTCGTTCAAGTGAAGTGGGCGGTGAAGCCATTATATTGTACATTCACACTTAGGACTGTAAAGTGTTCCTGTGAGATCTCCGAGTAATTATTTTAAATGCAGCAGGGTTATTTTAGTGCAGCGTTTAGATAGAAGTGACAGAAGTTTAAAATATTCATGTTCCGCAGTCAAAGTTTATCACGTATGAGGAGACACTGTTTCACTACAATGATGTGAAAAGAAAAATGATTTTTTTTACTATAGGATCATGAGGTGGTTCCTAAACGTGAAATCATGTATACATACTATCTTTTATTATTCACATGTTACTCGGTTTCATATTCAGTGTTAATAAATTCAGATATCAATACATGATAATTGAAAATGATTTGAACATGATCACACGTTGCATTTCAATGTGTGATTTTTGGCTAAGTATTTATAAAATAAAACAACAATGTGCAGGCCTACTTCTTTTTTTAGATTATAATTATAGACTACTAAATGTTTAATTTGTATGGAAAAACTGCGTTCATGAGAGATGCTAATTATCACAGTGGTTACAAAATTGTCTCCTTAAACGTCTTAAAACACAAAATTCACAACACAATTGATACAATGGGGTCCTACATGTAAAAGAAGAGATTATTTTTATTGCATATAGTTGAGCACTGCGGTAACCAGCGTCTCAACCTCATCTGAGTGAAGGTCAGACAGGACTTGTATGTGGTCAATACTGTGGTCTGGATAAAGAGATGTGGAAAACCACAGATCGTAAGAACATGGCCACAATTAATTATGAATGTGTTTCTTGTATTCCAGTTGAGAGAAGACATAATGGGAGCTATCTTGTCAAAAGCAGAGATGAGAAGAGACCTATGGCACAAGTCTCTGTGATGATATTTACTCGACAATCAGAATGTTCTGTTTAATCAAAACATTAATAAAGACTTAGACCACGCAACGTTGCAAATATAACTGTAATAATTATTAAATTGGAGCAACTTTTGTATCATTTCCTAGAGGCATTTCAAGCAACAAAGTAACATACAGCAAACATAATAAAACTCTATAAAATAAACTCTCCAGCTATCAAAACTTATTCCTAATAGGACAGGAGCTATAGTCTTATTTCAAGCACAATTATCTACTCATTCCAAGTAAGAAAATTGGTCTCTTAGTCTCGTATTATTATCTTATATTCCATGCATGTTTGACTTATCCTTGATATTTTTAATAAAATTATAATTCAGACACATATTGTGTATTAATACTTCCAAAAGTGACAAAGCATTACTGCATAGTAGATAAAACCATGTATTGTGAGCAAATAGAGCTTGTTATATTGGTTATAGGGGTTATAGGTGGTAGAATTACTTGGCAGATGGATGGTGGGTAAGTAAAATTTTGAAAGACATTTTGAAAGAAAATATAGTTCTTATAGTAGGTACAGTAAGTATGCAATCTTTTCTATCTATCTATCTATCACACAGAGATGGGAGCAAGGTCACCAGACAGGGAGAGCATGCCAGACCTATTGCAAATGTTTTTAGTGGTAAGAGAAACCGGAGTACCTGGAAGAAACCTACGTGGAGAACATACAGTACAAACTCTACTCAGAAAGGCCCTGTTCCGACCGGGATTTGAACCGAGGATCTAAGCAAGAGTCCTATCCACTCAGCCACCGTTCTACCCTTATGTCTAAAAGTTCATGCATTATGTTTGAATATCGACACCGTTATTAGAAAAGAATTACACCATAGGTGAAATGTCCTGATCAAGAAGATGTGGAACTTTGTGACAGTTTAAGTTCATATGGTTGGCCAAGAAATTACAAAATAATAAATAATCTTCACATATAACTGTGGGAATCTTACCATTATATATGTGACCAATTTGTCTTGTCTGCCAATCAATTATCAGACATAAAAGATGGAGAAAGTGGGGCAATATCCACAGGAGTATCTACAGTGTTGTTGTAGAAGTAGAGGACTTACTTTATACTGATGGCGTACTCTGTGAACTCTTTGCTGCGATGTCGAACCAGGTATGTGCTGTTGACCCTGTTGATGAGCTCTGTCTCAGCTTGAAAGCGCTCCATGGGGCCTGCAAACCTAAAACAACAAAACATTAGTTAGAAAAACAGTCATATTACACCATTCAAACTTTTTGTGTTGTTTTATTGTGATCTTACCAGGGCTGAGTGGAGTAATCTATGGGCTTTGGCACCTGGAGCAAAGAGCAAATTCTTGTTTTGAGTCTATTTCCATTAGGTTATCGCTGAACCATCTGTTTGCAGTAAAAGGATGGACTTGGCGCCAGTTTTATATTGCAATCTGTCTCTTCACTGTACATCACTGCAGTAAAGCTATGCAATGCTTGTCTTATCTTTACTGCATTGATAAGCCCAGTATACAGCAGATATCTTGGTGCATCGAGATGATATATTGAGTGTTTTGCCGTATAGATTACTATAAAAGTTGAAGAAACGTGCTGAAAGTGGCCTGGTTCAGAGAAAGGACTGTGTACAAGTCTCTCTAAGGACAATGTCTCCAAAACTACATTTGTAATGTGTTAGTGGAGGGTCTAAGGACAGGAAATGATCCATGTGTGGATGTGTGGATGGTTAATCTGTATCCATTCCATATCCATCAATCTACAATGTTGATCTGAAAACTTTTGCAACATATTTCTACATGGACCAATGGCTCTGACCACTGAATGTTCTACAACATTTATGGACATTTATCAACATTCATCGACTTTGGTCAACTCCCCCTATGGACCAATACCTATAGTATGTGTTCTGTATTATATTTGTGTTTTATTCTCGGATCTGTGAAGGCGAATTTAACGGTTTTGTTAAGTCCTCTGAGATAACTGCTGTTGTGATTTAGGGCTATACAATAATACATAGAATTGAATTGAAAATCTTTTTAAAATGAAGTACAAATTAAGTTGCTGACAGTAGGACTGGACCACAGCTTCATGCCCGTGCCAATAAAGATAAGTCGCTGATCTACTTGAACTCATGGTGGAACTGAACAGGTTGTGGTTATAAAATAGGAAAGAACAGAATGCTTACACAAGGGCAGGGCTTCACAGCATCACTTGGAAAAAAGCCCACTTCTTTTGTCGACAAGATTTTGCCCTGGAAGCAGACAGATAATTGTGTTACGTACATCTGGCTGACTCTAACAACATATTTCAAAGACAATTAGTTCCCAGCACGCAGCACTGCAAATTTACAGCTCTTGTTAACCATTATTGGAATCGCAGCTAGCAACAGGAACAAGGAAGGCTGACAACTTCCTTATACCTCCCATGGCAGCAACTTGCTCAGCTCAATGTCTAGATTTATAAACACCAAACCAGACTAAGGATTTTGGAAGTTCAAAATGTGCGGCTTGATGCTGTTAGTGTGAACATAAACGTAAAATATTCAATTCACCTGGGACAATAGCTCAATCTTACTACACACTGCAAGGAGGAAATCACTTTGACTGTTCCGTATTTTCAACAAATTCCAAAGGAAAAGATGTGAAAACTAAATTATATTTCCCTAAAGGTGGCGATGTGTTATTGAGGTGGGTGGTGGGGGAAATCTAACTTTACAAAAATATATTCTGATAAAATAGCCACTGGACTATTTCATATTCTTCAGAATGATTCTATTGTTTATTTTAGTTGTGCCTCTTTACCTTTAAATTAGTGCAGTAGTTTAATACTTTAGTTTATCTCAAAACGTGGAACTTTCTATAGATCAATCAATGACAAAAAGATGGAACTCACTGGGGTTTCCTCAACCACCTGCCCCTCCATCAAAGACTCCCTCGCCACCTCCCATGGACCTGTCTTGGGTCCCCCCTGCCACGTCCACTCCATCAAGAGAGAATGGGGACACCTCCCTTTGTTTTTCATCCCCGCCTTCACTGTTAGACCTACCTGAACACTCTGCAGGGCTAATAAAATCGGCCATGAAGACTATTCCTCTCACACCCATATTCCTCTCACACCCATATTAGCTCAATCTAGAGTCCTCTCCAACATGCTAAACCACTCCCCATATGTACCTCCAAAACCACCTAGGGTTTCCAATTCACCTACAAAAACCACCTCAGCCAGTCCCTCCCCTAACCTCATGACCATTCCACCCCCACTTCCCCCTCGTTCAACATCCAAAACCTCTGCCTCAGCCCACCCCGGCCCTAACCCATCACCTAAAACCCCTCCACCTCCCTGCCCCCCTCGTTCAACACCCAAAAGCCACCCACCTCTCCATCCTCCTCCCCTGCCTTCCCCTTCCCCTCTTTTCTCTAAACACTAGGATGCACAGGGTCTCTGCTTCGCAGCCACTGGCAGTCTAGTTAGGAGGGCCGAGCGGAAGTGGCGCAAGTCCAACCTCCAGGTTGATTACGAGATCTTCAAAGATAAATTGTGCGAGTTTAACCGGGTGCTACGTAGTACGAGAGAAAGGTATTTTTCTGAAATGATTGAAAGCTGCAGCAACAATCTGCGTGTTCTGTTCTCAACAGTTAATAGATTAACAAACCCCCCTGTTCAAATGCCATTAGAGCTAACTTCCAAACGTAAATGCAATGAGTTTGCTCATTTTTTCAATGACAAGGTTCAAGGCATCAAAAACGCCATTGTCTCCAATCCACAGATAACCATCCAACAGCCAGAAAGGCTCTCTGAGCTAACTCACTTTGCACCTGTAAATGATAAAACTGTCCAAGAGATAATCTCCAGTTTGAGCTCCTCCACATGCAGCTTGGATGTACTACCCACTAGATTTCTAAAGTCTGTTCTGAGCAGTCTGTTACATTCACTCACACAGATAGTAAACATGTCCCTTCATTCTGGAATATTCCCAAAGGCCCAGAAAACTGCAGTCATCAGGCCCCTGCTAAAAAAGAGCAGTCTCGATGCTACGGTACTTAACAACTATCGTCCCATCTCAAATCTGCCATTTATGGGGAAAGTCCTTGAGAAAGTTGTCTACCTACAGCTTACTAGATTTCTTATAATCAACAACTCATTTGATATGTTTCAGTCCGGCTTTAGACCCCACCACAGCACTGAGACTGCTCTCGTTAAGGTTACAAACGATATCCGGCTGAACACTGACGCAGGCAAAGTCTCAATCTTAATCTTGTTAGATCTAAGTGCTGCCTTTGACACCGTCGACCATGAGATCCTCTTACAGAGACTAGAGGACTGGGTTGGCGTCACTGGCACCGCCCTAAGTTGGTTTAGGTCTTACCTTGAAGACAGGAAGTACTTTGTGGAGATTGGAAACTGTGTCTCAGATCATATGGCCCTGACCTGTGGAGTCCCACAGGGGTCAATCCTGGGACCTCTTCTGTTCGATCTCTACATGCTGCCGTTAGGTCAGTTAATACGCAGAAACGAAGTTTCCTATCATAACTATGCAGACGACACTCAGATCTATGTCTCACTGACTGCAGGAGAACATGGACCAGTGGACTCACTCCTTCACTGTATCCAACAGATCAGTGAGTGGATGCAAAACAACTTCCTTCAGCTAAACGCAGACAAAACTGAAATGATTGTCTTTGGTCCCCAGAAACAAAGAGAGAGCGTCATCTGTCACCTACAGTCTCTCTCCCTAAAACCTTCAAACAAGGTCAGAAGTCTAGGGGTAATACTGGACTCAGACTTAAATTTTAATAGCCACATCAAATCAGTAACATCAGCAGCTTTTTACCATCTAAAAAACATTGCCAGGATCAAAAACATAGTGTCTAAAGCAGACCTGGAGATTCTTATCCATGCTTTGTCTCCAGTAGGTTAGACTACTGCAATGGCCTGCTCACAGGTCTGTCCAAACAGGCTGTAAAACAGCTGCAGTACATTCAAAATGCAGCAGCTCGAGTTCTGACTAGAACCAGGAAGTACGACCACATTAGTCCAGTTCTCAGGTCTCTGCACTGGCTTCCTGTGGCTCAGAGAATAGACTTTAAAACAGCTCTGCTTGTGTACAAGTCTCTCCATAGCCTCGCACCAAAATATATTAGTGACATGTTAGTCCCATATGAACCAGCCCGGACTCTGAGGAGCACAGGGACTGGACTCCTGTTAGTGCCCAGAGTCAGAACTAAACATGGGGAGGCTGCTTTTCAGATTCATGCTGCTAAAATCTGGAACAGTCTTCCTGAAGATGTGAGACAGGCCTCCTCTCTGACAATGTTTAAAACCAGGTTAAAGACAGTTCTGTTTAACTGTGCATACAACTGAGGGATTTTATATTTCTATCTTTCTTTTTAATGTTCAGTGATAATTTATGATTTTAATGCTTTCTTGTTTTGTTCAGCACTTTGAATTGCCTTGTGTATGAATTGTGCTATATAAATAAACTTGCCTTGCCTTGCCACTGAATAAAAGATGATTCCATATTTTGTAGCCAGAACTTAGATACATGCTACATTTTGATATTGATTACATACATCATAGTTACAATAAAAAGTTGAATTAATCCAATGAAAAGTTTAAATAAAGTGATTCTTGATTACTTTATTTTTTTTCAAAATGAAACCATCAATTGAAAAAATAAATAGATAAAACAAATTTCAAATTCCTGCACTATCTAGTTTTATGTTTAATGCCAAATTGTGGACCTAGGCATTTACAAGAATGTGAGAGCACATTAATATCAGAATGAGACACTATTGTCTGCATATTGTTGTTGAAATACAAAACTTTAAGTATTTGAATAATATACAATATAATGCCTTAATTTCCCACATTAAAAGGATAATGGTAATATGTATTTTGTCATGTGATTGAGACATTGCAAAAACAAATTGATGGGTAAGTAATTTAAGTTGTCTTGATATCACACTATTACAGGACTGAAAGAGGAGCTTTCAGGCAGAAGAGGCGGGGCAACATGCTCACACCAGAAGTGTCCCCAATTAGCGTGGATGGATCTAAAAACAACTCCAGATCTGTGTTTGATAATATTGTAACATGGTTAAAAGTTAAAGTGGATTTTGCATGACATGTCTCCTTTAACACATATATAAATGTGTTTTTGCTAGAATGGCCAAACCCTTCTTCTTAGGACAACATTCCCCTGTGTCTGTTGGAGTAGACCTCCGCCGTGGCCTCAGTCACGGCTAATCGACAAGAGTCCCAATGAGTCCTTCTCCTCAGGACATGGACCCCGGACGTCCTATCCCCTAGCCTCCCTGAATTCTTGCTCGCTGAGGCTGTGATAATGACTCCAGCCGCTCCCAGTGACAGAGTAAACAGATGCTCGTTGCAGAATGAAATGAAATTACAGCCATCGATTGGATTTGTCACGCATCCCCCGAACAGAAGCGATTACGCCCGGCTGCCTCTAAAGGTGATGGATATTGAATGTTTACTGGATGTGCTCTCTGCTTGAGTGAGGCTGATACCAAGGGTTAATTGTATTTTTATACACAAGCCCTGTTTATACCCACAACAGGTAGTATCTGCTAAATGATATTGTTTTTAGTTTGATCCTCCTTTTGCTACTGTCCTACTGTTACTACTGTGTTTGCTGGGGCGTTGATAGATTTAGCAATAAAGGGAAAAAGGTTGTTACCTAATGATGTAATGTTTGTATTTATATGGCGCATTTTACAGACCAAGGTCGTAAATCAAGTAAGCAAAACATAGTTGCTCATCCATATCTGTAATTGTAGCCTCCCAGTTGATATGAGGAACGTCTGGCACAAATAGCCTTTAGCACATTCCTCTGCCTCCTTTGTCGAAGTGCTCCATCTCAAACTTGGTGCTCTTTCAAGACTCAACCAGGAATAGTGCTAAATAAAGCTTTCATAAATAAAGTATTCAAATTAGGATTTCTCCAGTCAAATGATGTGCTACTTTATGCTACTTTGCCATCCCAAAGTAGTGTTTGAGATTATAACACATGCTCACAGTGTCATCCTGCCAACTTCAGGCCTTGTATACCTTGTTGTGAATCTCAGAACCGCTGTTGACTTTGTGTATGATAACATGTGTTTTTGATTGTGTCACAACATCGCGTTAGCCTAGCTGGTGAGATCACCATATGTCACCGAATTTCCGTTTGAAAGTTAGGTCCTTGAACCATGCTAAAACTATTTCTTCATCAAAAAAGGTCTAAAGTTGTTTTCAGCTCTTACCAGTCTGTCTTTCCATAGTTATCCTCTTTGTGACATTTGCAAAAGGAAGTAGCGTGTCTGTGTGAATGTTCTGCTGCACTTGTTTACATGAAGACTATAATTTCCATTGCCAGCATAACACGCCTAATAATAGCAGCTTTTAAGAGCCAGCCAACAAAAGACTTATGTAACAGTCCAAATCCAAAAATAGGGCAATTTTGAAATGAGACAAAAATAGGGAAGGAGAAATTAAGATGAATGAACTCATACCTGCCACCATGCACTGTGCAAATCGGCACATATTAGTTCAATGATGTCTCCAGTTTGAATGTTCAGAGGTGGACCGGAAACAGGACTGGGGACGCCAAAGTAGTTTCTCACAACCAGCATTTTGGGTAAACCTGGAAGAAGGATAATCAACTTAATATACATGTTAAAACAAACACAAAGTTATTTATTTGTTGTCCTGTTTGGTGTTTCTTGATGCGTATCTGTCTTTTAATGCAGGCTCAATTTGACATATATTGGAAAAGGTAACAATGTTAATGTACAAAATATGCCTTAAACACATCCTTCTACTTATCACTACTGCTTTCAGACAAAAAAAACAGCTGTCTCGTGCACAAATGTTATTGTAGAAAAGTTAAATTTTGCTCCCAGAGATAATTGGCCGAAGCTTGCATGCATGATCGAATATGTTTGTTTTTATATACGCAGGACATCGATTACAGTGGACTTCACATCAGATGCCTATATGGACATATTCCCTCTGTGATATTTTCCTAATAACTGGGAAAAATAATATGTTATCTGCCAGAGTTTGAGTTGTTTTGTAAATCTTATAAAAGGCCAAAATGTGGTTTGTAAAATGTAATGATAACAATGCACTGCCGATACAAAACTGAGCTATGTGTAAAATTGCAGACAAATAACAAATTAATCATAATTAGAACAGGTCACAAGAAAGCTATCAATCTTTCACTTTATCTAAAATCAGTCCCCTCCCTTTTGTGGTTATCTGGTGCTTGTAATTGCCACGCTGGTGCAAAGCAGTGCCAAGGGCAATTGAGAAATACTGGTTTGGTCACTAAGTCAAATATTGGTCTTGGCTTTTTAGTACATTTAAACAAGCTCAATCTGATTATATTTGTTTGTTCTTTTTTTTTTGCACAAGTCAGAATTATTTGGCTGCAAGTACAGACAACTTTAGCATACAATTTAACAGATCCCTTTTAATACAGTTGGTGAACCCCAGCCAACAGCATGTTCCTATCTCATATTTACAATGGGATGAAATGTATGCGCGTATCTTTCTCTATGCAGCAGAGGCAGAAATGCATTCAATTCGGAGCGTGAAGAAACGGATAAGGCTAAAGTCGCATAATAGGAAAGTCAACATTGTATTGAAAGCCAATACATCTCTATCTAGCTTTTCTATTTTGCTTTCAGGGCTTCGTTTCCATTGCATTGGACGTGCTGGCGGTCTGACATGTGCGAGCTTGCCTCACTATGACTTCTGAAGACATAGGGCTGTGGAGAATTGCGACTTGGGGGCATGTATTGCATTCCAATCCAGTGCAAGGACAAGCCTTGTGTGTATTAGCACTATAGCCACCTTTGAAATACACAAAACAACTAAGGAATATTATGAAATGCCACGGGCACAGGCCAATCAAACGCCTATTGATTTTAATGCGTCTTCAGTCAGAAATGATTTTCCGAGCCATAATGGAAGGAGGCGTGGATAAATAGGCGGAGGGCAGCTTTATGAGAGATTAAAGGGCTTCTGCTGTGTTTAGAAACACGACTTGAGAGGAGGCAGTGTGTTGGGCATATTCATTGAGAATATGCATGTTTGTTGAGGACCACCATAATGCTTGAAATTGCTTTCCAAATGTGGTATGATATCATCAATGTATTATCTCTTTCAATGAAATCCTTGTGGAAACTTGGCATTATTTTGTAGATGCGACTTGACTTTTGGGCAAAAAACCAGCACTAGGACTACATTGACCAAGACCAAACGTGGCTTGAATGTTTAACACCATGAAGTCATATAGAGTGTCTATTTAGGCTATGGTTCCCAACCTTTTTCGTCCTGTGTACCCCTCATCAGCATAGACAGTACCATCTGTTGTTAGGGAGAAAATGTATCCCAGGGGAGGAGGCAGCATGTTGGGCATACTCACTCTGGTCTGGGGCCATATAGAAAGGTCTCCATTGTTTTCTTTAGGGGAAGGTGGCTTACTACTTTATAATGAATTGTATTTGTTTATATTATGTAGGTAGTTTATTTACGTAGATGTTTTGGTAATTTAATATCTAGATACATGAGTTCGATGCATAACTGAACCCAAAACTGTTCAGAGACAAGCTTGTTTTTGCCCACTGGTAGACTAATCCATAACATAATAAAAAATATTAAACATGCCATAGTATCCCATAATAACCTTTTACCAATAACCATATACCATCAATGTTTGCAAGTTCCCCTGCAAACATTGATAGTATATACAATTTGAGTGTTATATAAGATGTTTTTCCCCTGTATGTGTCTAGACCAACCTGTTGAGAGGACAAGCTTTAGGCGACATAAATTCTTTTGCACCAATACATTACGTTCGTTTGACATTATTTATGACTCCTGTAGTAGTGTTAAAATTTGGCCTTTCCTGTCGAACTTTGCAAAGTTACCTCCCAGGAAGGGATAGAAAAAGTGTAGATTCCCTGAGCTCACAGACGACTTAAGTGCATGACAGCAGTTTGGAAGTTGGAAAAGTATTGTGTGTGCAAACGCAAACAGAGACTAAACATTGTGAAGAGAGGGCGGTGTGCAGTTGTCTCACCTGCGCCTCGGTCCTTGCTCTGGAAAGAATGACAAGCAAAGAAAGAAGTTACACAAAGTTGTACACAATCGCAACACAACAGATAACTTTTCCATCATGTAGTAACAAGGTCATTGGGCAATCATTCACTACAAAGAAAGAGAAATGTGGCTGGAGTGAAACTGCATGTAGCATTCACTTGTGTGAGTTCATGTCTCTATGCAGTAATAGTTGCATTTGGAGAATCCATGTGCATTATATCCAAGTCCATCTACTTTTATAATTCAACTTACAATGTCAAACTACTATATGACTCATAACTCGCAATACTTTATCTGTCATAATTTTGAAAAATTTAATGAGTTCAGATCATATATTTGTTGTTCATTTGAATAAAACTATTGAAAAATATTTTATTATACTATGTTTCCCTTGTACTTATAACATAGTGAATGTCAATTAAACCCATGCACATAAAGCCATAATACTTTTCTGAATGCTAACAACACATATTCATAGAGAAAGAGAAATGCCACACTGAACATTAGAACTCATGCAAAGTCTTTGCACGAATGCATCTTTAACACAATTCTTGAGTAATGCATGCTTTTTTTTTGCAGGATGGTCCTTGCCATCTTGCAAAGTTGCACGACAAATAAAACATGATGTCACTGTGAGCTAATGCGGCAATGATGCATGGAAATATAGTGTGCAAAATTTGAATCAATGATCACTGCCTGACACAGTAAATGATTGGATCTCTCGTCTACAGATATTTAGAGTAACGCAGCACAGAGCACATGATGGATGGCTGGAGCTCGCGGAGGCTCCTGGCATCACGTCGAGCTTGCAGTCAATTGGCTTTCTCTCCCTTCTGCAAAGCGCTGTGGGAGAGAGCCGGCTTCAAAGTGCAGCAAATCTTTAGAGAGGAGGCAGAACAACACAGCGGCAACAGCGGCGGTGGCGGCTCACCTGAGTTCTGATGGAGCCCGGATCTGAAAAAAGTTTGAAAAGAGGCATTGTGAGTGACGGGTTACGGCAGCACCTGCACGCCGCGCTCGCTACAAGACAACAGTCCCTCATTAGTGTGGAGAACGCACGCTCGTGTCTGACCGCAGGACGGGGCCGTTTGTTTGGCTGCTTCTACCTGACAGGCGGGATAGAGCAGGTAACAAGCAGGTGGGGGTTAGTGCGCTGTTTGCTTCAGCACTTTCTTTCATTGGCTCCCAAAGGACAGGTTACACACACGCAAACACACACACATGCACACGCACATGCACACGCACATGCACACATTACTGCACTTTAGTGTGCTCTTTCTGCTGGTTTGAACTCTAGCCTGTTACGCAAACAGCAGGTGATAACAGAGACAAGTGCAGGTAAACAATGGCTTATCACAGACTACACATGAGCTGCTACATGTCAACAATAACATCTGTTGTAACATCTGCTTTGAAACACAGAATCTGATGAGAATGTCATGCATTTGTCGGATTATGTGGTTTAGAACAGTTTTACTAGAAAGTGATAATTTATAATAATGTCTTATTCATTAATGGGGAAGCACACTGGTTGAAGTAGCCTACTGCAGTTGTACTGATGGTGGAATTCTACACTATATAACAAATCTGATGATATACCTGCACATTGACCAATCTGTTTTTTGTTGAGGACCATTGATGATTGTTTTATTTTTTGACTTTCTTATCTTCTGTGAGAAAATCAACAATTTGGTATGCCTAGAAGGATAAAGACTGCATTTTGTGGTGTACTACATTTTGTGGTGTAATACATTTTAGACGGTCAACACAGATTTAGTGATAAAGAAATACTTTTTATTTAAACAGAACAAGTCATCAAAAGGTAATAAAATAGATATTCTTAATAGTTTATGAACTGACTTTAGTGCTTCTTTCAGAGGCATTAGTTAGTTTGACGACTGCATGTGCTGAAACACTGCTCTTGGTTTTGCTACCACCAACCTGTAGCAGAATGCCCCTCAGAAGCTGTCACACTTTGCAGCGGCTGACTGACAGACACACGGGGCACACTCACAAAAGTCGGGACTTTCTTTAAAAACTCTGCGCCGAATAAGGAGTTTGAAACTTTAGGGATGTGCGCAGGCCTGCTCTGACATTACCTTTAAGTGGCTCTGTTTTGAAAAGTGTCCAGGGATGGCCTTTTGGTGAATATAAGTGATTGAATAGATGAATGACATTGAGAGTAGAAATAAGGGCATGCAGGGAACTTAAAGATTTTTAAAACCCAAACTGTTTTAATGTCATAGCTCTACATTTTAACATACTTTCCAAGAAGTGTTTGCTGCTATGTATATTCATCTTTCTCTCTCTTCAACATATAGAATACACTATATACACTTCGGCTGATGTGGCTGTACCTGTTTTTCCACAGGATCCAAACCGTCCCAGACATTCCTTATGAGCACCCAGACCACACTTCTGGCACTGGTAACCTTGGTTGAAGATTCCCCTAAGCACAAAAATAAATACTACCATTAATGAAAATAATAATGCATCAGTTTGATATAGCTTGTGTTTTTGGACACATATACGCTTCACATGTCATTATTCATTCACGTCATGCCCTGTGGTAACTACCACTGTAGCTACAGATGCCCTGGGGCACAAGGACAGAAGCAAGGCAATCAGTGCTGCCGCTGGCCCCTATCGACCTCCACACACACACATACACCGACCTCATTCTAATGTGGGTGTATTGTCTTGCCTAAGGACACAACAACAGTGTGGCAACAACATCCCCCCCACTGTCTCCCATCACAATATTAAACACTGCTAACACTGCTTAGCTTCAGAGGTCTGAGGGATCTGGGTTTTACATGCACCAATTTGACAGCTGCAAATGCATAAATACAAATGTATGATTGACAGAAAAGACGCCTGTTTTCTAATCATTTCGAACAGTTTTCAAGCGCAGGACATGGATCAATTGGTGCATGTCTTCAGCAAAATGTTAGCAGTAAACTACAGTATATACAGTCTGTAAAACACACACATATTTTATCTGTGTGTCAGCAGCTCAGGAATAACAAGCAAGATGGGATAACACCATCATAAAGTCTACTCTATCTACTCAAAAAACATCTATAAACATTTTGTCTTTGGGTCACTTAACAGAAGGACATGTTGTACAATGAAAAGAGCCCAGTGCCAGCTCAGCGTCTAAGGAATGTTGGAAATTTGAAAACAAATAAAACTTGGATTCAATACTGAATATTTTCCATTCATTTTTGTGTTTCACTGAATTTGTGCTATAATAGACCCTGAAGAAGAGCCATAGTGTGACAGACCTGCTCCTCTTCGGGTGACCAAATCTATCAGAAACTTGCTTCTATAAGGCTTAGAAGCAAGTTTCTTAGTATTATATGTATATAATGTGCTCTTTTATATGTGTAAAGAGAGCAGCCCAGTTGGATCTTTAGTTTCATAATAATGGACATCTATATGTGTATTTTTTTTAAGTCTGGTGTTGGCTTATGTAAAAGAGAAGAAGGTCTTACCTCAGCAGCATGTGGCAGGAGTTGCAAGAGGTAATCCTTTCGAACGTGTGCATTTGAAATTCATGATAGTTGTTTGTGCCGTTTTCAGGACGAATGTTTGATCTGAAGAACAGAAAATTGTGTGAAAATGTATTACTTTAAAACAACTACGTTTTCTGCATGTTTGACCCTGCTATCCTCTGGTCAAACTGATCTACTAAAATGATTAGAAAATGCTGATGATGATGATGATGATGATGATGATGACTGTGGCGGATGGTGACCATTTTGACTAAAGGGTAGCACAAAGGTTAAGTAGCAGCCAAAAAAAATATCACAATTCTCAATTATTTTACAAGTTTGAATGCCATCCATCCATTGTTCATTTCAGAACATTCCATCTATTTAAAGAAACAATCAAATAAATAAACAAGCAAAGAAAAAAGGCCTGCATCAAGTGAACGTTCACAAGTGTGCGCAAACCCCTGGGCATGTGGGAGTGCGCACGTGGGAGTGTGCGTGTGAGGCTGTGGAAAAGGACAAGTTTCGATGCCTACACAGAAGACATGTTTATTTGATTTCTGAGCATATTCAGCAAACTTAAAGGGTCGATACTGCACTGACCACAGGAGCGCTCCAATCATCCATATGTCCACATTGTTCAAAATATGTGTGCACTGGTTTGTAAGTTGGTTTTGTGATGTGAAGTAATTTGAAAAGTAGAATAGAACTTAATAAATGTCAATATATTTGATGTAATTTCACTTAAATTATCATGTATACATAGTGAAAGCTTTCAGAATCGTATCTGTAAATCTCCTTTCAGTGTTCTGTTTTTGTCATTAATCCTGCATCGATACACATTTTAATATTTATTTATTTTAATACTTCAAGAGATATCTTTTAAGGTTTAATTCCCACATGCACAACTCCAAATAGAGTACATCAGTTTAGATATTTTAGAGTGTCCAAATTAGAAGTAACATGCAGGCATCACTTCTGGTCACATATTAGTTAAATATTATGTGGATAACTTACATCCACATACATCCACTAACAAACATACAATAATTGGAAAGAGCTGCAGCTGTTTTGTCTCTTTGCTCTGGGCTCTATATTATTCCATTGCTCGTCTTTCACCATTTCCATTTGCTTTTCTTTGATGAATAAAGCATGTCTAACTATATTGAAGAGCTCATTCGTTATTTCATGGTTAAAACAGGGAAATTGAATAGCCGGACCCCAACTGTGGAAGAAACAGTGTTGGGGAAACATCAGTTATGGCTCAGAAATATGCAAATGTATTTCATTAGATTAGATTGATACAGTAAGAGTCTCATCATCACTCTGCTTATTGTAGGCCAAGAACAGAAAAAGGAGTTATTATCCTCCAGGGACAAACATGAGCCGTGCGTGTAGAACAAATATTAAATATATATACAGTATATATATCATTTAGTGGAAACATAGGTGGTTTGGAGGTACATATGGGGAGTGGGTTTGCATGTTGTCAGGCCTCGAGATTAGCTAATATGGTGGTGGGGGTGAGAGGAATAGTCTTCATCGCCGATTTTATTAGCCTGCAGAGTGTTCAGGTAGGTCTAAACAGTGAAGGCGGGAGATGAAAACAAAGGGACGTGTTCCCCATTCTCCTCTTGATGGAGTGTGGACGTGGCAGGGGGGACCCAAGACAGGTCCATGGGAGGTGGCGAGGTGTCTTTGATGGAGGGCAGGTGGTTGAGGGGAAACCCCAGCACAGGCCTGTCTGCTGTACTGGGTGAGGGTGGGGGCTTCAGAGGTGTGGGCTGTAGAAGAAGAAAGGCGTGGCTGCTTTGGTGCAGGGGGGATGAAGATGTTGGTGGTGGTGGTGGTCGGTGCTGCTCGGTTCTGCCTTACTGGTTGATGTATGCAGCGTCTGAGACAGTGGAGGTGTTGAGATCCGTTGAGGCGGGTGTGGTGTTTGAGATCCTTAGAGGTGTGTGGTGGTGTTGAGATCATTCGATGGTGTGGTTGGTGTTGAGATCTTCGAGGTGGTGGTGGTGTTGAGATCCTTTGATGGTGGTGGTGTGTTGAGATCCTTCGATGTGGTGGAGGTGTGAGATCCTTCTGAGGTGGTGAAGGTGCTGAGACTATTGAGAGTCGGCTTCCTCCTTTCGATGCTGCACGTATTCGATGCGCATGGCTGAGGTCTCTGGCCAAAAGAAAGGTTATCCATCAACATTTTTACTCCGTAAGTGTACAGATTGGCCCTTTCCTTCAAAAAGCTCATGCCTATTCCAGAAAACAGATTAAAATTCTCATTGAAGGCAAGTCTCTGCTTGTGAACATGCGTAGTGTAGGAAGTTATTTAGTGATACAGTCGACCCCTGAATTTCATTTGTTCCCGTCCACATTGGTAGTGGGCCACTGATAACGATAGTTGGTCCATTTTGCTACGGTGTTCAATAAGAGGAGAGTATTCCGTTTCAAACTTTTCACTTGTTTGTCATAGACGTCTACTGCCCCCACGTGGAATCAACAATCTTTTTACCCGCCACTGGTCTCAGACAGAAGCCTCGGAGCTAGCCGCCTAATATTCATCCACTTTGGCAGAGGACTTCCGAGTGAACTTGAGATGGCATGTTAACGTGTCTTATCGCCGTAAATCGCCGATAATAGAGCGATCTCAGCTGCATTTAGACCTTGATGAGGGACTGAGACTGGAATGAGAGTCTACTGCTGATTCATCTTCCAAAAGTGGGGAAAAGCAGGTTTCTTGTAATTAAAGATTTTGTTGTGGGCATATATGAACTATGATATCATTAGCTTTGCTTGTTTGGTTTGGCTCCATATGTGTTCCAACAATTGTCTCTGTTGATTTTGCGGGATATGAAATAGCGTCTTCATAACTTACGTTTTGTCCATTTGGGTCCATTTCCCTACCACTGTATTGTTGTGTTAGCCCAATTCTGATTCAAGCCCAAACATTCGTCTTTGAAGAAGTTTTAGCTCCTGTTTGAGTGAAAAAACAGCCGTCGCAAAGTTTTGTTCTGTTTTCCTGTCCTCTGTCCCGACATGCAGTAAGTTAGGGTAAATCCACAAGTCTTGTGTTGAAGTTTGTAAAGGAAGTAAATCCGTGTTTTTGGAAATAAAATGTAAGCAAAAATGATTTAAGGAGATAAAAAAAGCAGCATAGCGAGGAGGGAAGCCAGCAAGAGAATGCGACTGCTCTGTCCAGAGGTCGCACTCACACACCGTCAGTGACATGTTGGTGTCATATGAACCGGCTCGACTCTGAGGAGCACAGGATGGCCTTGCTGGTGCTAGAGTGAGAACCAACATGGGGTGGCAGCGTTTCAGATCCATGGCAGCTAAGATTGGAACAATCTCCTGAAAAATGTGAGGGAGGCGTCTACTCTGTCAATGTTCAAATCCAGGTTAAGGATATGTTCTGTTTTGCCTGTGCATACAACTGAGGATTTTATCTGATTTCTAATGCACTGCTGTCATTTATTTATTTATTTATATTTTTAATTTCTTGTGTTATTTTGAAAAGTTTTTAATGGTTTATCTTTTGTGTGATTTTAATTGTTTTAATTGTGTTTAATCTTTTGTGGGATTTTAATGTTTTAATTGTGTTGTATCTTTGTGTGATTTTAAGTTTTAATTGGTGATTTCTGGTGTTGTTTTTATGTGATGATTTGTGATGTGGGACGTGAAGGCTTTTGGGTTGCCTGTGTATGGAAAGGCGCTTACAAATAACTTTGTTTGATTGATTGATACTAGTACTAGACACAGATAAAAATCAGTATTACACAAGATGATAACGATATATATTTCTGGTTGTTATAATACGTCATGGGTTTATTCTAGTATACTTGACTTTAAACATACCACAATGTTATCTTATTGCATGAAGTTTCTGTAGGTGAATAAGTTATTGGCTCTAATTCTTGTTGCTACTACTTTGCAGCACGGAGTATCTGCGACAACACTTCAGTTGAGTAAAACTACGGTTTGTCACACACCGGTTGTTAAACTGTACATGTTTCTTTTAGTGGAACAAAAAGTCTATGGTGAATTCAGCTTCAGGAAGAATCAACGTTAAGGATCAGAAAGATAAGATAAGATAAGATTGCTTTATTTATCCTCAGAGGAGAAATTTACAAAATGCCACAAGGCCAGTTCATCCTATGGTTAACGTGTCTTGACATCCTGCTGCTTAATAGCCAAACGTCTAAAGAATCTTAGGCTCTTCGCTGCAATGCATATTAGCCAAATCGGCAGTGCTCCTTATTCAAGTGCACGCGTTTACACCGACAACGGAAAATTAATGTAGTTCTGCACCTCGACAGTAGTGGCAGTGAAAACGCTACAGCACGACATTCGCAACCCCAGGGTAGATCCCACTTCCCAAAAAATCCTCCTCGGGCGCGCAAGACGTGAAAAGAATGCACCGACATAATTTTTGCATTGAACAGTAGACTGCGGGAATTTAGGAACTGAGAATACAGCTTTGCTTGGTTTTGTTTCGACGAAAACGGTGCTCGATGCAGGACGAAGCTAGTAAGTTGTTAAGTTGCAGGAAGTGTCAGTACGTTACCTCTGGGATTAGGGCTTGTGGCTTTTTGTAATTTCTCCTCTGTGAGATATAATAAAGCAATCTGATTATTATCTTATCTTTTTGATCCTTAACGATGATCTCCTGAAGCAGAATTCACATTGGATTTTTTGTTCACTAATAAGAAAACTTGTACAGGGTTTTAGACGTGGTGAGGACCGGTTAGTTTTACTCTACTGATGTGTTGTTGCAGTAGTAATCCTTGCTGTGCAATAGTTGTTGCAACAAGGATATTAGAGCATAAAACTTTGATCACTACAGAAACTTGCATGCAATATGATTATATATGTGGGTAATGTTTATATTCAAGTTTATGATGAATAAACCCATGAAGTATTAACCATCCAAGAATATATTCGTTATCATTTGTGTAATACTGTTTTTGATCTGTGGTCATTTATGTATCATCATTCAATCAAGTTTATTTGTAGAGCGCTCGTCGTCATACACAGGGCTACACAAAGCGATTCCAGT